AGAGCTAGGTACTAGAATTCAATAATAAGTAACTAGAATACTCAAATTCTAACTCATAGGTGCCGCATTAGACACAAATAACTATTCTCAGATCAAGTCAATCCACACCTTAGTCGAGGCCTGCTATTTAGAATGTAAAGAGATTTATATTGGTGTTAGATATTACACTATATTTTTCTTTATGCCCGTATAAATACCTTCAAACCTATTTTTTATTGTCACAATGTATGCTATAAACGGGTAAATTACCACCCCGGAAGTGCTGCGGTTCTTGACAGTACAAATCCTGAAAATTCTGGTATTAGTACGATAATCGCTATAATTAGAAGAGTCTTCCATCGAAATAAAGACAACTCGTGGAGTTCGAAAACTTCGAAGTGTTTAGTCAAAGTTGTAGTCTCTAGAAAGTTCCTCACTTTACCGTCGAAATCGTTTGTTCTTGTCCCCGTAATTCGTATTTTCGTATTATAACCGATAAAATCGTTCGTTGATTACCATATCAGATATTGTTGTGTCCCTGTAACTTGTTTTAAGCCCATATTTGTTATTTTGTTCAAAATAAAAGAGAAAGTATCGATTAGTAATCAAATCTCCCTTTTATATAAAAATACAGTGATTATATTTGTGATTAAATCCAGTGTTGTACATTTTTCACTGTCCAAGGCTTTTTTGACCATGTCCAACGTCCAAATGTCCAAGTGTCCAAGAGTGTCCAAAGCATGTCCAAGCTTTAATAATTAATAAATTTGTCTAAAAAATATATAATTATATATTTTTTTAGGTTCTGAATATTTTTTACTTAGAAAAGTGTATAGATTATCTTAACAAAATTGTGAGCAATTTTAATTTATATTTTTGTCCAAAAATGTCCAAACTCATGTCCAAAGCTGTCCATTGACAACACTGAATTAAATCCATTGTTACGAAATACATACGTAATTCGATTTCGTCGATTTCAGCATCCTTCAGTGCTGAAATAAATCACATGACACCATGACTACTCTGACTGGCTAAATTCGATCACGAGACCACTAAAGAAAAAGGAAGAATAAAGTATTAGCGAAAGTACTAATGAAATTACTTAATAAAAGAATAATAGAACACTTACCTGAACCCAGAAATAGCTTCTCAAGCCTCCTTAACCTTAATTACTCGAACCAGATCTTTCCACACCTTAATCGAAGCCTTACCACTATTAGGGTTTGGTTTGAGTAGTATAGTAATAGTAGTGTAGATTAGGGATGTTAAGTGGTCCGAGAAGACCGGGTCTGGATTCAGTCCGAACCGGACTTTTTAGGGACTGTTCAAAAACGGTCCAAAACTAGTCTTTATAATCACATGATATAAACCGAATGTCATTTTTGACATATCAAATAAAATTTGATAAATCGTACATCATGAATGATACTTTTTTAAGTCGATGTAGTATTCCCGCTATAAAATTCACTAATTTTGGTGAATAATAATATTATTAGATACTCTGATTGGTGAATTTTAAATTAAAATTAGCAAGTGCCTTGCAATTTCTTAATTTTTCTTTGAATAATCATTTAATAGGATCGTGGCATAACTACGCCAGCCTATAAAGATACTTCAATTTACAACAGTGACAAAATTATTGAGAAGGGATGATTATTGAGAAGGGATGAACAAAAAACATTCATTTATTGTAAAAAATAAAATAAAATAAATAATGTTGAATTTCATCATTAGGGATGTTAAATGGTCCACAGAAAACTAGTTCGGACCGAGTCCGGACCGGACTTTTTAGGGACTAGTAGAGACTGGTCCAAAAAGGTCCAAAACCAGTCCAGCTCTTACATCATATGAATAGAGTGTCATTTTTGACACATTAAATAAAGTTCGATAAAATGTGAATCAATAAAAATACATCCTAAGTGTGGAACTTAAATAAACTAATTGGGAAATCAATGACAGATACTCTAATTGTTGTGAATTAAGTTAAAATTAGTTAAGTGTCGACTTTGTCGATCAATAATGGTAAAGTTTGTAATAAAAAGTATTATAAAATCTATAGTAAATCACTAGGGTAGGACTACTGTAGGACTTGTTTTTGACAGGGGGGTGAACTAGTTTTTAACTAGTCCTGGACCAGACTTTTTAGGGACTGGACCAGGACTGAACCAGACGCACCACTTAACATCCCTATATAAGAATAGGCGCCTCGAAGGTAATACCATATAATATTATGTTTGTATTGTCTTTGAGATTCCTATAACAATACTGAGTTAACGTAAAATGTGGATGCCTTTTGTTAAATCATGTAAATAATAATAGCATAATTATACCAAACTATAACATCACTAGCTCGAACTTCGTTTAATTTAGTGACAATTGTGAAATTGCCTATGTAAACCGCTAGGGTTGGACTTAAATTGGACTAGTTTCAGACAGGGGATACAGACTAGTTCCTAACTAGTTCAGGACCGGACTTTTTAAGGACTGGACTAGGACCGGACCGAACTGGACTTTTAACATCCCTAGTGTAGATTTGTGTATTAGTATAGAGTTACTGTCATTTCCACTTGGCAATTATTTCGACACAGCTTACACTTTTTCAACGTGCGTATGTTGTAAAAAGGAAGATTGACCTCACCGCAGTAGTACTTACAACAATTTGTGGCACAAGTTCATAGAATTCCTAGTACTTGGGTATTCTAAGAATGTGATGAAAGAATTAAAGAGAAAATAAAGAATATTAAAATAATTAGAATAGTTAAAATTCGTTATATGTAAAAATCAATTATAAAAAGGAGTTTTTCTCCTGAAATAAAATACAACTTGGTGTTTTAATTTCAAAGCTTTTAGAGCAGAAGTAGTCCAATTAATACTTATCAACTTGTTATAAACAACTTTATATAAAAAATATAGTATCCAATTATCTCCGTAATAGTCGTTATCATAACCCGTTACAGTAAGAAAGAAAATAGAAGAACTTGATTAACACCATTTATAGTAAAATCCGTGATAATCACTGATCGATTGATCGCTTTCGTCGTTAGATCATTAATTAGGGATTGGAACCGCCTAAAATTTTTCTTAATCGTTTAATCGTTTAATCGTTTAATCGTTTAACCGTTTAATCGTTTAATTTGGCCGGCATTAAAATAATTCCGGCCCACGATCAACATAATTCTGCCCGGAACTATGGAGCAATTTTTAAACGGTTAAATGGTTCCAATCCCTATCATTAATAAATGCGATCATCGAAATTACCCGTGGCTCAAAAAGCAGCATAACACTAGAATCAAAAGAAGACTTATCTGAATCCCGGTACTGCATCCTTAAAATCCAGAGACTTCAAAACTTAGACCAAGTCTATATACGCCCCATACGAAACCTACCACTTGGTGTTTCGAGTCTTATCCGAGTATTTAGATAGTATTTGGTGTTATATATTGTTTAGTTTAGTCATATAATATAGGTAATAGTTACCCTTGTTAGTCGCTACTTGTTTAACGTACGTCAACTAAAGATTTCTGACGAACCTATTTTTGCGACAATGGAAGGTTTCATTATGTTGGATGTTTGACGAAACTCCTGATGATTGACAAACCTTTGATGGATCAATCAAACTAATAAAACATCAAAATATAGTTGATTCTCTCACAACAAGCTTCTTTTTAACGATTTCTGGATAAAATTTTCTAACTTGCTTTTATCACGTTATGAAGTTTTATCAGTTCAATTGAAAAATCATAATTTCTATAATTTAAAACGATCTTTTTCTATAATTCATCATTTGTTACAAAAAGAGTTGACTAAAAAACAGGCATGTAAGAAGTTAATTTTTAGCTTTATATTTCATAAATTTAAAATCTAAAATGTTTTTTATTAGTTTTCTTCAAATCTATTGAAAACTTTCGGGTAGTTTAATTTTGCATGATATTTAATGTCGGGGATGATGCTGAAATCTGGGGTCTCAATTTGAAATATAAGCCCTACTAAAATCCACCTATACTCTTTTATTATAAACACTAACCCTAAATTCTAACCTAACTATAAAAAAAAGTTGAACAAAACACCTCAAAAAAATTTTAAAATTTCGTAATAAAATAAGCTAAAATTTCAGCATCATCCCCGACATTTAATATCCTTATGCACATCAATCATTCATCATGGGTTTAATAATTCGTCAATTCGTTAATTAGAAATTGCTTGACGAATGGTTTCGTTATTCGTCAATGACAAAAGCTTCGTCATTTGCCAGGCATCTTTAACGTCAACTTAGAAGCAAATTAAAATTACTTATAAAACGTAGACCAATAGAAATATTCAGGTTTGTATATTTTGCAAATTCAGTGAATTCAGCAAATGTGCTACAGAATTTGTAAAATTTTTGCAATTGCAAAATTCTAGGAAACTACGTTATTATTGTTACTAACAGGTAGATATAAGCCGAGGTAAATCGATATAAATCGATGCAGATCGATGCAGATCATACCGGTTAACACTTTTGTACAAGGTTACATAAAACTTAAAAATTATTAAAATAGTATTATTTAGTATTTTAATTAAAATTATACATTCAAGTATGCTTTATTTGATGGGCCAATAAAAATTTTTTAGCCAAAAAGGAGATCTACTCCCTTTCTATTGAATAGCGCCCAAATATTTTAGTAAAAAAATCATCGCACAGATATGTTGAGAATTTTTTTGTGGCACAATTTATGTGAGTTGAGATCATTTGATTTAACGTTACTATACTGTAATTAGACTTATTATTACCCTTAGCGTTAGTGTTAGTGTTAGATCGATAGATACTCGAATCAGGGACACGGAAATTATATATTAATTTTTTGTGTAACTGATAGCTTTGAACGAACTTAAATCGAATCTATCCATTATAAGAATCGTAGTATAAAAGAGTAAAAATAACATCTAACAAATTATAGAAAGCCATTTTCTCGTTCAATATAAATTTCGACAATTTTGAGTTATAACAAAAATATTCTGTAACGAACATGCATATAAATGAAATGACTCAAGAGCTTAGTGTTTCTGAATTTTTCGAACTTACGTTCGGGCCAGCTCCAATAGAATTAGATCTTACTAGTTTTGTCACCGAAGAATTGACCAATGAATTATTTTTCTCAATCATTAAGCCTTCGTTGGGAATGTCAAATCCAAGTGGGATTTTTCGCAATTTGTTTCCATACATTTTTGATACTATCAGTAGAACCGTTTCGCTTACTAGACTAGTCAATTGCATTCAAGAGTTTACTGAAAAATACGGAGGTGATGACCCGAGTAACGTTCTTCAACGTTTGGTAGATTGCACAGGCAGAGACTTCCTCATTGCGTTTCTTGACAAGATCCCAGAAAAATCTCTCCGTAAAATTCTTCCCATGATTGTTGCTTCTAATATACCTATTCCTATATTCCTTCCAAATGATACTATTCATTCTGATAAAGGCCTTAGAATCCTTAACGGATTATATAATGTTATGACTGCTCGCAAATATCATCTCTTTCTTTCTGTGAATTCACCAAATCATGACCTAGGAGTGCCATTCTCAAAACAGCTTTACAAAAACTTCTCCAATCATCGTGAAGATTTTTCAAGCATTTGTAATCCTGGTTCAATTGATATCTCTTTTCACGATGCATCCGAGAATCATTCCCGTCCACCATTGGCAATCGCAGAAGTTTATTTTGATGAGACCAATTCATCTACGTTCTGTGATGTTATGAAAAGTCTCTCTCAATATGCTTTTTACACCGTGATCCATGTTTCTCATAATGACTTTTATGATAGTGAACCAGGTGAAAAACTGATAACAATTATCAATAATATCGACGTGGAAAGCTACAGTAACCATCGACGTAGAATTTTGATCATGTTTTGGGAACCGAACAAGGCTGACATTAAATTTAGTCATCGTAAAAAAAGAATGGATGATATCCTATCCAATAAATTTATTAATGATGATATTTCTTATGATTATGTCATTAATAACAAGAGAAATCCAACGTTTGAGAAAATCAAAAAGGACTCATCCCAGAAACTTAGAGATACTCCAGAACTTTATTTGCAACCAACTTTCTTCAAATCCTTTGATCATGCTTATAACGATATGAATAAAAATCAATTTGCAATATTAATTGCACAATCAGAATTTAATTTTCGAGCAGACATATTCCAGGCCTCCCATTGTTCAAACATGATTGAAATGCTTAAGGATAAAACTCGTCTAAAAACTTTTGAGGATCATAAAGATTATAGAACGGAGAACGAAATTAATTCTGAAATTGTAAAGTTTCAAGATCAGCAAAAGAACATTGTTGATCAAATTCCTGCTCTTTCACATTTTGCACAAATAATCAGAAAAAATAGTATTTGTGAGATGCGTGAATTTGCTCAGCAGGTAGACACATACTTTAAAACACATCTCTATGATTTGGCTCAAAAAGATCATGTTGGTACTCATAGAGAAGAGATTAAGCAGAAAATAGAAGACAGAGATATAACGATTCATGATTTTTGGAGAGAGTTTATTATTATGTCTAAAATAAAACAATGGGATGATCATTTAACGATCTTAGAGGCGATATATGGTCTCAAAGTTAAGTAAGTATTAAAAAACATTATAATTTGGATAAGTTTTAAAGCTAATCACCATGGATATTCAATTTTAATTTAGAGAACTTGAAAACGGATACAGAACCTGGATTTGTGAGAGTGAATCGATTCAGATTTTGGAAGGCATATCTCTTAGAACACTGGATGTTGATTTTCTTTCAGCAGTTTTAAGTAACATTATGTCTGATAATAAACGACAGTTGATTGTTCTTTCAGTTATTGGACTTGAAAGTTCTGGAAAATCTACATTATTGAATTATTTGTTTCAATGTGGATTTTCTACATCTGCTGGAAGATGGTAAGTAGACCTACTATTGCCTACATGCCTATTCTTGGATTGTATTAATAACGATAAGCTTTTAAAAATTTTAATTTTAATTGTCATCATCATAGTACTAAAGGCACTTATTAATTTTTGTATGCATGTTTTCTCATTCTAGTAATCAACTTTTAACAATATTTTTTATTTATGTTTGATAGGTGCATACATGTCATATAGGCATACCATTTATAGTGGAAAAGAATTAGATGTTCTTATCATAGATTCTGAGGGAATGGGTTCTACTGCCCAGAAATACATCTCAAGACGCACAGATTTTGATAAAAAAATGACTCTTTTGGCCTTAATGTGCTCACAAATCTTAATTGTTAATACTAAAGGTCTCACACGTGATATTTCTGATATTCTTGAGGTATCTTCTTATCATCTGGATGCTCTCAGCCAACGGGATTCTAAGCCAAGAATAAATTTTGTATTACGTGACATGAAAGATGCCAGAAGTGCTCAGGGTCCAGCATTTCGTGATATAAGGGAAAATTTACGAAAGATGTTTCAAGAAATTCCAGGATGTGCATTTGATATGGAAGACTTTATGATTGTTGAAGAAAAGGATGTTCACCTGCTTGAAAATGCCTTTTCTTGCTCATTTGATGATTTTAATCCACAATCTATGATTACTAATAATGATAACTTTCATTTTCCTGCGGTAAGCCTTAATATTGTATGATTTATCACGCATGATAACATATTTTATAGGGTATTAAAAAATCTATTAATTTAGGAAACTTTTCCATTAAAAATATCTAACCTCCGAGAAGAATTACTTACATCAGCATTGATTCCAAGTGAAAATCATGAGTCACAAATTTTTAAAAATGTGCATGGTAAGAAGCATCTTATCTTCTTGTTTAAGTTTATTTTACCATAGTATTTACGGTGAAGAAGTTTTGTAAAGTTATTTGATTTATCTTTCTACAAGGTTTTATTGCGCATATGCAGTCTATTTGGAAAGAAATTGATGCGCGTGGGAATTTTCTTCATTTTAAAAATTCTAAAGATATACAACAATGGAATGCAATGAAAAAGATTGTCAGTAGCTATGAAGAGACTTTATTAGAATCCTACAAAGTAGCTGGGTTAAAATTAATAGATGAACGAACTGAATTGAATCAATGGACCAAAAATGATGATATAATGTTTGAAAAGTGTCTTGATCAAGAAACCAACAAATATCTCTCTCAAGCACTTGCTGATTTTCGGCTAAAAGTCTCCAATCAATATAATCCTAAAATAATTGATGAAGGTATTACTCATATCAATTCAGCATTCTTTTTGGAAAAACGAAATCTTGAGGCAAGATATACAAAAAGGCAGCGACAATCCAAAGAATCCCAGTTAATTAAATTGGCTAAAGACAAAATCGGTGAGGCTGTTGGAAAAATCCTTGAGGAAAATAAGGATAAAACTCCTGAGGATTTTGAAAAAATCTTTTCTAAGTCTAAACGTGATGAATTGTTTGATATTGAATGGAAAAAGATAGAAGAAGACCATCAAGCTTTTATGCTTACTATGATAATGGAAACAAAAAAACTTGAAGAGCATGTGGTCCAATTTTTTAATCAGGCCATAGAAGATGGAACCAGCAAAATAAGTGATGAGAATAAACCAAGAGAAAAGTTCAATCGAAGGTTTTGGAACACACTTGTAAAGCCAGCAACTTTGGTTAAATCCGATCCTTTAGATGATCAACAATTTTTAGAATGTATTAAGATAAAAGGTCAAGCTCTGCTCGGAAAAGCAAAGGATGTATTAGAATACACTACTGGATATCAAACTTCTGAAAAAAACAAGCTAAAGAATATTGTAGGAAATGTTATTAAAACTGAAATAAAAAAAACCAGCAAACAAATATGTAATGAACTTAAAGATAATAATGTCTTAGCAATCGAATTCAGTCAAGCATTAGAGTGGCTTAAACGATTATGTGATAATATTTTTATTGTCATAGTAAATAATTATAATAAACCTCAAGATAATTTTACCATCGAAATCGATAATTTTTGCTATGCTGAGGTATGATTTGTATCACATGACCTTGCTATTATACTGCCAAATTCTATCTGCTAAATTTATTTTGTAAATTATTTCAGCAATATTTGCGCCTTCAAGTTTTCATAATATTGGAAGAAAATACTACAAGATGGAAGCAAAAACAACAAAAAAATCTTAAAAAGCTTAATGATGAAATGCTAACCCTTTTTCATAATGTACTAAGCAATTCCACTTATGAGAATATTTCTTATCAATTTTATAAGTATATTTCTCAAGTTGTAGAAGAAAAGCTAGATGCTCAAGGAGATATTATATCTGAAATTCTTGAGCGCTATGTAGAAACCAAATGGATATTTGATAAGAACCCTACTCGTGTTGCTTATGAGAAAAGCTTTGGTTCTTATGATGTTTCCAAATGTCGCCAATATGTGGATAGCCCAACCTCATTTATGAGATTATTATTTGAGGATGATTTAGAAGCTTTTAAGGATATAAAAATAGATATGCTAGTTGAGAATGTTGAAAAAGCTATATTTACTTCTTGGGAAGAGCTTGAAAAGTCTATAGCTAGTTGGGAGCAACATTTTTTGTCAAGTCAAAATATTACTTTAAAGCAAATTTTACAAAGAGCAAATGGAATGGCTGTGGAAGAGTTGGTGGAAAATGCATCCCGTCTTCTTGGAAAGTGTGTTATCAAGTCTCCTGTAGAATTTTTTGTAGTTTTAAAAGATGAACATAATAAAAGCTTAGACACATTTGTAAAGCATTGGAAAGAAAATGGCATTTCTAATTGTAAAGAGTTACTGAGAAGGCAAATCAGTAGCAATAAAGACTATTATTGGTATAAGGCTGAAGGGTGTACTCATAGGTGCCCATTATGTGGGTAAGTCATGCAAAATTTTATTTATCTATAAGAATATTTATTAAAAAATTAATTTCCAATATATAAAATATAATAGATCCAAATGTGAATTAGCAAAACATGATCCTGGAACACATCATGTAGCGTCATTTCATTTAATGGTTTGCTTCAATGGTTGGAGAAATTCAGATACACATATAGCAACATTGAAAATATGTAGTGAACCAGCAGCTCATGACTCTTATTGGATAACTTGTAAAGAAAAAGAAAAAGAACCTCTAATACTTGAGAAATTTATGAAGAAACATTATCCAGATTGGTGGCCATTAGACCAAATAGATCCTGCTAATGATCAATTAATGCAAGTCCGAGCTATGTGGATGCACATGAAAGATGAATTATGTAAAAAGTGGGATATGAAGGATGTCACTCCTGAAAATTGGTTTGATGCTTATTATCATTTATTTAAATAATTCTTCCAATATACATATTACTCCTATTGAGAAATTTTTTGCACTTTATAATAAAATTTTAAGTATTATGATAAAAAATATTTGTTCGTTATTATTATACCTCATTTATATCTCTATCTAGTTATATTCTATTTTATAAATAGATGAAAATTTTGTCTTCGCATAATGTAACAGCAAGACTGGATAAAAACAACAATTTTAATTCTGAACAACTTTAATTAAAAGCCCAAAAGTAAAAAATCATCTCAGTATTTAGCAAATTGGCTATGAATTCTGATCATTCCATCTTATAAGTGAAAAGAACTATACCTTCTCTGGAACTCGGAATTTCAAAATTTGTAACGTCATGACCGGTTATTAGCTGATGGTTAATAACCGGTCATGGCATATTTTGAAATTCCGAGTTCCAGAGAAGGTATCGTTCTTTCCACTTATAAGATGGGATGATCAGAATTTAATTCTGAGCAACTTTAATTAAAAGCTCAAAAGTAAAAAATCATCTCAGTATTTAGCAAATTGGCTATGAATAATTGTGACCGTTCGTGACCGAACCCATCCCTAGATCTGATGTTCCTTTAATAATTGTTTTTCACAATAGGCTTACTCAAATAAGGCGATAAATAAAACATAATTGATTTAATTTATGCTATCTTCACCAGGGTATTTTTACAAAATGAAACTCCGAAGTCTCTTCAATATATAAATTTTTATAAAGCTGATCTGTTACGCAATTGAAAAATATTATACTACAGTATATGCGCGAAGTAAATTAATTTTTTATATTAGATTAAAGAAAAAGTATAAAAGTAGTTATATTAATTCAAAGTTATTTTTCGTGTTTTCAAAACTATACGTTTATCATCATTTAAAACGCTGATCTATCCGTTACGCGAAATACAATTATTATAGTATTAAAAAGTAACTTGTTTTTAATAACATATTAAAAATGAATTCAGTACATTTTATAAAATTAGTATATAAGATTTTTCAAATAGCTATGTTGAATTCGGAAAAATAAAATAGGATTTCTCTGATATTACTGTAATTTTGAAACCCCCTAATGCGCAACTTTTTGTTAATTTTGGCAAATTATATTTAATAATATTGAATTTTTTAATAAAAAAAAATTGCATTTTTCTGTAAAATGAATTTATTGATTTCAGCTTCTTCCTTATTGTCGACTTCTACACTTTTTTTTTGAATTTAGTAAATTTATGTCAGAAATATTAGGGTGTTAAAATATATTCATAAATAGATAATACTTAGAATAGTTATATTTCTTCGAAAAGTAAATTGGATATTATGGCCCTGGGGGCCTCTAAAAAAGTTATAATGTTGTCTGCTAGCGCTTCTCAGCCCTCAAAGCCAAGCTGGTTAAGGGTAATTTTTATTTTCTTCGTAGATATATATATATATATATTGGTTTAATTCTTAATAATAGACGAGATTTTTAGATCTGATTTAATAGCGATAGACAATGAATTTTGTACACTGTACTTATCGTTATATGTTACTTTCTATAAAAACATATACCGTATTTCGCGTAATAACACTCATATCTTCTGTTTTAAATTCACTTAGAGCGTGTTGTGTGTTATACGCGAAATTTCTTTCATATGATTAATTGCTTTTGAGAAAAATCGATTTTTTTTCAAAAATAAAAACATTCAAGAAAATATAATAATAGTACAAAGGCAATCATTATTTGCATGTATCTATTTGAAAATATTGCATATAAGGCGTCGGTCGGTCTAGAGGTGCGATCCGTTATCCACTTTCCTATATAAATTTACGGATATCCGTAAATTTAAATAGGAAACCAGGTAACGGATCGCATCACTAGGTCGGTCCAATTCAATTGATGGTTAAAATTGTGATCACAGGATTACCGTGCCACAAAATGTTTCAAAATGATAGCAATCGGCCGTTGTTTCACGTACGTACGTAACATACGAAAACATTCGGAGCTTTAATTCCAGATACAATATATATAATCTAACCATTATTTTTGTCCAAGAGCTTTGAAACTACTTTCATGGAATCTGTGGTTTTTTTCGGACGCACTGGTGAGGGAAAATCTTCTCTTGCTAACATGATGATTCAGGGAGATATTTTTGATGATTATAACATATTTCCAATAAGCAATAATGCAGTTGGGGAGACTTCTGTTATAGCTTCTTCCAGTAATGAAAAATTTCATGTATACGATACGATAGGATTATGTGAATCATCTAAAGGGAAGTACTTCACACAAGGAAGCAATCAAAAAAATCAGATTTTATTTCTCAAAAGTTCACATACCACTTCATTATATATGCTACGTTAAAAAGGGAAACAGCAGATTCACAAATGAAGACAGAAACACCTTTGAGGAATTTAAAAAGATCTTTAATGGAGGAGAAAGCAACTTCGTTATCATTATCACCGATAGTAATCAGGAGTGGGTTAATAAAAATGTAGATGCAATACGTGAAAATTTTGGAAATCATAAGATCATTGTAGTCGATTTTCCCTTTAATAATCGTTATAATGATGCTGTGATAGATGAGAATCAACGAAAAATAAGGATGGAAAATCGGGATTATTTGATACAATCTTTATCAGGTCTAAGTTATAAAGGTGTTACGTTAGAAATTCTTAATCCTTCAGAGTATATTGAAGCTAAAGTAGCAGAGTTTGTTAGCTTTGTGCTGGTCGTCGGTGCAACTTATAATCTGATCTCTGCTAGTGTATATTATTTAATATTAGACAGACCAGAAATTGCAGCAAGAAGACTCAAAGAAGGAATCAATATAGGAATTGAAGATTTTAAAGCTCTTGCGGGTAATTTCTCTGTGGTACCATCTCGATTTTGGGGAAGATTGTTAAAATAAATTGAGGTTTTCAAACCATTTTTACTATGTAAATGATTTCTTCAAGTAAAAACATTATTATTTTTATTGTAGAACAAGCAATTATTTTTACTGACATTATTTGACTTGCATGATAAAATATTTATTTTCATTTTCAAAATTTTTTGTATTGAAGAAAATGACATGATTCTTTTTAAAATAATTATAGCAATTCAAAGTTAGAATTGGCTTATCTTAAATACTAAAATTTAATGATTTTTATATTAATAAAAATAACTAATGTCTACTTCAGAATTCTCAATGCATTTTTAAAGTATTGTAATTAAATAAAATGTGAATTGAATTTAAAAATTCGATTAAACTTTGTTCTTTATGCCCCTAATAATAATTATTTTATCATATCATGCTATCAATTGTGCGGATTAATCAATTAAATAAATCGTTTTATAATAATACAGTATCAAAGCATCTTTATACGTGTATTTTTTGAGCGAGTCTTGATGACGCTTAAAGCATGGTGCAGATATACGAATTAGAACACAATCAACCTCAAGCTTGTAATCGAGCTTCATATTTTTCGACGCCATTCCTGGTCATCTTATTTATGAATATTACTGAAAAATAAAGATAACTAAATACAGTAAATATTTTGATACAATTATTTATTAAATTAATTACAAATTGAATGTTAAAAATTATTTCAAATTCTGTTATTAAATCAATTATATAAAGCTTTAATACATTGTTTAAAAATACTGACTTCCAGACATATTCAATGTCAGCTTGCAATTCTTCTAAAATCTGTCCCCTAAAAAAGTTTTTTTTTATTGAATTATGTACTTTCTTTAAAATACTATTATTACTTTATAAAAATAAAAGTTAATTGTGAAAAAGTAATAAAGAGAAAGACAACCAAATGACAACGGTAATAATAATAGCTATCAGGCTATAAAACGAAAAGCTTTAGACAAGAAAGAAAATTTTTAATTTTAGGCCAAAAGCTAAAGTGGGCCAACTTTAAAAATATTGGCCAGCATTAGATTAGTATACCATATGTAAGTTACATAAGTTACATAAGGTAAAATCTAACTTACGTAAGTTAGGATAAGTTATACTTATGCCTAATTTTGCCTGGAATTATACTTAATTTTGCTTGAAAAATATATTTTAGAATTAGAGTTATACCTAATTTTGCCCGGAATTATATTTAATTTTGCTTGAAAAATATATTATTCTGATTTTGCCTTAAGCTATGCCTAATTTTTGCCCAGAATTATACTTGAAAATATACTTGATTTTGCCCAGAGTTATTGCCTAATTTTGCCCAGAATTATATTTAAAATTTGTCTAAAATTTTGCATCCAGAACTATGCTAATCTTGCTTGGAATTATATTTAATTTTGCAAAATATATTTTGATTTTGCCTAATTTTGCCCAACACTGTTAATTTTCCTTGAAATTAAAATTTGATTTTGCCTGGAGTTATATCAAAAATTTGCTTAAAATTATAATGAATTTACCTGGAATTATACTTAATTTTGCTTGAAATTAATGAATATCTATACTAATTGTCACATAGTAATGATTGTAAAATATTCAGTATAATATAATAACTTGGTCAAAACCACTTTTATTATAAAACACAAGTAGGAAACATAAGAAAGAAAGGTGGGATAGACTTATCAAACAAGAGAAATAGAAATGAATAATAATGACGTGTTTAAAAGTCATGCAAAAATGAAACGTTTTTTAAAATTAAATATATGCTAGCAAGATAATGTGGTAGAATTAGCTCGTAACTCTGGTAAACATAATGTTGGTAGAATTAGCTCGTAACTCTGGTAAATATAA